AGGTCAACAACCCAGTGTGCCAAATAGGCGTCAAAGTTATCAGTGCTCCAAAAATGTCTTACATATCCTCTGGCTCATTGTCATTAATGAGTTATTTATTATGTGTTTAGCATTACAAATGACCGGATGGTATGTGTGGCCTGTAAAGGGAAGCCTTAATAATCAATGTGACCTTGTTGAAGTGCTATTAGTTTCTATCCAGTTTAAATGTGTTGCATTATATGAACCATTCCTCTTTCTTTTGTACTGTTTCTGTTTTTCTTTTGTCTTTTAACACCTTCTGAGTGTTGCCTAAGGGGAATATTTCGATTCAAAAAGGGACACTCGCAGCTTACCGCCTTGCTCCTCACAACTTAAACACACCTGTACAATCATACCTACATGTTGCCTGAACTTAAGCAGCCATTCCTTTTGAAGACATTTTTACACAATTACAGTAGCACCAAGTTTTATACCTATATATATGTTTATTTTTGAAGAATCTTACGTGTCTACTTTATGAGTAGCTGCAGTGTCTTAAGTCACTGTCTTTAGAGCAGGTATTTTTGCACGCATTCACTCCTTAATGTGGCCTTGTAAGGTAGGTTACAGTGCTTTGCATAGCACACTACAGCACACACTGCATGGCTGGGAGGCCTGAGGGAAAGTATATTTTCTTTACATCCAAGGTACATTTGACTAAGGGAGTACAACTATCTGCAGAGCCTCGAAACGAGCCAGTGATTCAGGCAGTCTGTTGGGAACAGTCGTGTAAAAAGCACTCAGAAATCTACAAAAGCCTCACACAATCTTGAATGCAACTTATTTTCTCAGCACAAGATTTGCACAATCAGTTGTCCACGTGGAAAATACTACTTTAAGCTCTTGTATGAAGTTGAATCTGTATGTCAGTGTTTAAGATGTCTCATAAAAGCTTTAAAATGACGTGTTCACGTGTGCTCTTTCTGCCATGCTAACAGTGTGGCTAACTTTGGTTTATTATGACATTCCCTTTGGCCTTAGTCTGTATGTCAGTGTTTAAGATGTCTCATAAAAGCTTTAAAATGACGTGTTCACGTGTGCTCTTTCTGCCATGCTAACAGTGTGGCTAACTTTGGTTTATTATGACATTCCCGATGGCCTTAGTTTTACCTTGTGTTCATTTGCAAATGCTCGCATGCTAACACTAAACTAAGATAATAAACATGGTGAACATCAACTTCAGCATGCTAGCACTCACTGCAGGCATGTTAGCATGTGGACATTAGCATATACCTTAAACCATCTCTGTGGAGACATGTATAGCTGCAGGCTCATTCCATTTGTAGCGTACACGACACGCCCCTACAAACCACGCCCACCACATGTACAAGACAAACCTACCAATGCGACAGCTATCTGAACACTGCTACAATCCCAAACTGTAGTGAATAAATGAGACTTAATGTAGCTATAATCCACGTAATAATACATGAAGACATGATTCACTTTCTAAGTAACAAGATGTAACCCTTCCTATTACCCTTACTCTAACCACCTCTCTATTAATGTAGCTAGCTAATAGCTCAGCAACTTCACAATTTTGTTGGGACTTCCTCTTCCAGGCCATGGAGTGAAGGGTGCTGATCATGGACTGAAGTGCAGATATGGCTTGTCATGTAGGTGAAGGTCGGGTTATGTAGCTGCTCCAGCTGCAGTTACACCCACTTGTCTCTGTGCCTCGTACTGCCTCAGCATGGCTGTACATTTGTTGTAACACACTGCACTATTGGAATACTGTTAGTTAAAAGGACTCAATATCAAAATACATCTTTTTTTCTCCTCCTCAGGAAGTGCACCAGGCTTTGAAGCCAATTTTCATATTGGCCAATCAGTGGAAATACAACTTCTGAAACGGTCACATGATGCCATGGGGCCCAAAAATGCTTTTTCCAATTGACTTACATTGTGAAAGGGACATCTGTAAATAACTGGATCATTTGTTTTTTTACAGTCACAACTCTTGGGAAATGACTCAAGTCACTGTCGGGTTCAATCGATTCGGTCCAGTTACATTTCGTAAGCCTAGAAAATCATTTCTATCACCATTTACTTTAATGGGGTGCTCAACCAGAAATTTGCCGCTCAGCTTGAAGTCTTGAGGCGCTTGCTCTATTGGCCCAATGACGCACAAGATCAGGGTAATTATATACCCAGGAAGTCAAACTTTTTTGGCTTCCTGCACCACTGAGCAACTTTCATAGGAATTAACGAAGCCCTGCCTTCAAGGGTGTAGCGAGTTGTCTTTATACTTGCATGTCCTCCCATCCATGAGAAGATCCACGCTACAGTCTACATCAGTGGTTCCCCACAGGGTCCAGATATTAGTCATTAGTTTAAGGTCCACACAGTCAAATTTATTCAGCCTCATACTTGCATTTGGCCATGTTGTTGAACTAGTTTGTTGTCTCTGTTAAGTAGCCTATTTAGTCACTCTACAGCAGGAAATGGCACTTCAAGTGTTTTTTTACAAACTTGACACGTTCGCAAGTCACTTGCAGTCTTTTCAGAATGGACCCACAACCCACTTTTGGACCGCAACCCACCAGTTGGGAACCACACATGATAAAGAGCACTACAGGCAAGAGGTGAATATGTATTTTTGATTTTCAAGTGAACTATCCCCTTAAGTCTTGCTCCCCAATCACACTCACTCATCTTATGTTATGATACCAGTGACGTGTGAGAGCAAATTAAGAGGCTGACTCCATTCAACATTATTATAGTCTTTTATTCTTCCAAGGCACAGCAGATGTGTTGGCAGGGCGAGAAGCTATCAGAATACATTCAGGGTGTGAATGAACACATCAAGTACACACAGAAGTACACCCTGTCGCTCTCAGTGAGGGGTCAGTGACTGCTACATGCTCAGTAGGCTCAAATAAAGATGTAAATGCGGCTAACATTTAGAGCTCTGTCCCTGTAACCATCGAGGGCACGGCTCACTAATACTGATTAAGTGAAGAGGTTTCACACATACACACACACACACACACACACACACATACACATTCTCCATTTAATAGTTAAATTTGCCCGGCCATTGTAAAAATGTGTCATAAAACTCAATGAATTACTGTGTAGGGAATGAAAATATGTTTTCAATGATTTGATTGAATTTACCAATCACAAATCTTTAAACTGCTGTGTATTTTTTCCAGACAAAACTCTACTCCTATAACAAAAACGACACTGACATCAATGCCTGGTATCACTTAAAAAGGTTGTTTTTGTTTCCAAACCACCGGGGTTGTCTTATATGAAGATGATGCTTCAGAGCATTCAGAGTGGGATGAGTGAGCTCACACATGGAGAGAAGTCTACAATCAGGAGGTTGAACAGCTGTCTGACGTCATTGGTTCTGATGAATTTTGAATAAAATATCCAAACAGCTCAACTGTTACAGAGATAGTGCAAAAACAAAGCACTACAATTAGTTAAAAAAGAGAAAACATTTTTTTTTTTTTTTTGCTAAAAACAAAAAACATAAAAATACCAGACCTCAAAAAGTACCTCAGTGACTCTAAAGAAAATGGTCTGTCTCATTTGTAATAACCTGGATTTTAAAGAGACAGTTCACCCCAAAAAGAAAAATACATATTTTTCCTCTTACCTGTTAGATTATTTTGGTGTGAGTTGCAGAGTGTTGGAGATATCGACTGTAGAGATGTCCGCTGTCTCCAAAATAAAATAGCACTAGATGGCACTCGGCTTGTGGTGCTCAAAGCGCCAAAAATGCATTTGAAAAACTCAACAGCAATGTCTCTTTCCAGAAATCATGACCCAGTTACTCAAGATAATCCACAGACCTTGTTGTGAGCAGTTTAATGCAGGAACTATTTTCTATCTTATTTTGAGTTTCAAACACTTCATTCCTGTATGCAAAGATGCACCAATTTGTGTCTTTTCTGCATCAATGTATGGTGAAAATATTCTCCAGCACGTTCTCATTCCCAGCATGTTGAATGCCGATGCCTTGTCACATCCTTCAGCTTGTGATGCCTTCGCCAAAGGCACCCTTTAGCGTCTATATTATGATCCCCAGGCTTTCAGTTGACCCCAATGTATACTCTCCCCGGCAATATTACACAATGAGAGCAAGGAGTGAAAATGGGTTGGTACTTCCTTCCTTCTATCCAGCATAGTTGCTTCATCTTCTTCCTGTTTTATAGCAGATTGCAACCATTGTTTTAAGGTTGTATATTGCCACCACTATGCGTTGAGTTTGAGCAGTTTGTCGAAGTAAAAGTCCTGTTACTTTCATGTTTTTACTAGGGGGGGACAAAGTCACATCATCTAAATATTGATGGGGATGTGTCTTCTGCATCCCCTCAAAATCCATGCCTGTGCATGCATCTACTCATGGATGAGAGGCTCGTGCTCATGGCAGCGAGAGATCTAAACATTAATGGCATTCTCCTCAGCTGAGCTGTAATGTTAGCCAGGTCAGTGATGCTAGGTGAGCTAGCAAAATGCACGGTGTTGGTGGGTTTAGTTTAGGAGAAAGAAAATAGTCCCTACATGAAACTGCTCACAACAAGGTCTGTGGATTATCTTGAGTAAGCAGGTCATGATTTCTGGAAAGAGACATTGCTGTTGAGTTTTTCAAATGTATTTTTTGGTGCTTTGAGCACCACAAGCTGAGTGCCATATAGTTCCATTATATGTAAGAGAAGGCAGACATCTCTACGGCCGATATCTCCAGCACTCAACAACTCACACCAAAAACAATCTAGACTGATAAATAGCACTACAGGTAAGAGGAAAAATATGTATTTTTGATTTCGGGGTGAACTGTCCCTTTAAGTGTTAAGATGAAACATACAGTACCATAAAACAAATCCTTTGGCATTGTTCACTGTTAAAAGAAATAACTCAATACACCCATTAAGAACGTCTCAACTTAAACCTTAACGTCTATCACTCATACTGCAACTGTCACATGAAAACCTCTTTTCTATTAAGAATCGACCTTCCCGCAATCAACATTATTCATTATTTATTGACAAGCGTACATTTCTTTTTAAATTATACAATCACTTCTGAAACTATATCTTTTGCCTATAAGTATAACACTTTAAATCCAGAAGACCTTCTGGTTCTTCAGACATCACCAGACAACAGTGATGATGTATCACCTTTGAATTCATAGATCTTCATTTAAGAACAGTGTTAAAAGTAAACATGAAGAGAGGAGAGCTCGTTGGCCCACACAAGACTCCACACTTTAGTGTCAAACTCAGTGTATAAAGCTCGTAGCTGAGTGTTGTCCATAAAACAAATTATTACTGTATATACAATAGACAATAAGAAACTCTCACTGAAAAAAAGAAAAGAATTCAAAGTAAATGTTCTCTAGGAGATAAGTATCTTAATGTCATAATTTTCCTTTAGAAAATAGAAAAAATTTTCATGCAAAAAATATATACCTGGGATTTGGATAAACTCTTGTAACACAACATACCAAAAATATATATTAAAAACTGTCTCCGTAAGCCTATGTGATTCCACAGTTACAGATAAGGAGAGCTGGAGAGCAAAGCTAAACTCACTCCGATAAACGAAACCTGCTTGGTACCAAATCTGATGGTTCCTGGTACACGCCACATCACGATCAGTCTCCTCTGTGAAGAAGTGCACATGTTTGCACTTCGCTACTTTTACCCCAGGTGTGTGCTATTGGTGCAAAGTTAAGATTGTTGCTAGATTCAAGGACCAGGTTTGTTTATTGGTACCAGGGGGTTTTGCGCACCCAGCGAAGGGTGCATCCTGCATCTGTGCGGATCTTGATGGAGGCTGCTTCTGCTTCCCTGACGGTCTCCTTCACCGACTGCATTAGATTCTGGGCGTTATGGACCAACATCTCTGTGGCCTGGTAGAGGTAAACAATTGGAAATAAAGCAGTCAGGAGTAAAATAAAAACAGAGATGGGACAAAATTAAAATGAAGTTATCAGTGGTGGAAGAAGTATATAAATCATTTACAATTTAAAGAAAAAATACTGCATCACAAGTAAAAGTCCTTCACTCAAAATCATACTTGAGTAAAAGTACTAATATTAGCAAATGTTCCTAAGGTATCTTAAGTCAACAAGAAAAGTCCCTTGTAACTGATATATTATGATTATGGAGCCCGTTTCTGCCAGTGTGATAAAAAAGAGCCTGTAAGTCATGATAGTTAGAGACTTTATTGAAATAATGAGTCTGTATGTAAAAATAATGAGAACAATTCTTAAAAAATGGTTAAGTATTGTTTCTTTTTTTATCATTTAAAGATATTAAGTTACTGAGATAAGTAAGTCATTATTTTGAATTTCTTATTTTAAGAAACAAAGTCATTATTTTGAGATACTAACTCATTTGAGAAAGCTAACTAACTTTTTTTTCTAGAATGTTTCTCATTATTTTGAAATATTAGCTCATTATTTTGAATAGGTTTCTTTTTATTTTAGGATACTAACTCATAATTTGAGAAAGCTTTTCATTATGTGGGAAAACTAACTAATTATTCTAAGAAAAAAAAATAGCATTTTGAGATACTAGCTTGTTCTTTCAGAAATTTTCTCATTATTTTGAGATACTGAGCCATTATTTTCAAATATTAACTTGTTTTTTGAGAAAGTTTTCATTATTTAGGGAAACTAATTCATTATTTTGAGATACTATTTTAGGATACTAACTTATTTTTTGAAATTTCCTTACAGTACTTTGAAGTATGTTGAAATACTATGCCATTATTTGAGAAAGTTTTTTGAAGCTTCTTTGCAATACTTTGAAGTACTTTGAAATACTACCTCATTATTTTCATTTTCTCATTATTTCAAGTAACAAAGTTATTATTTTGAGATACTAACTTGTTATGGAGGTCCATTTCTCAGTATTTTGACATTCTGACTCATTATTTTGACTATGGTTCTCATTATTTGGGGAAACTAACTAGTTATTTTCATAACGTTTCTCATTATGTTGGGATACTAAGTCATTATTTCTATCATAATGTCTTACAGATCTTGCCTTTTTATCCTACTAGAGTAAATGAACTTCCACATTATTATGTATTATGTAAAAGCAGCATTTTACTGTTATAGCTGGTTGATGTTATGCTCATTTTAACTTCCTTGTATGCTGTTAGCTAGTTAAGTTCAGCTTAGGCTGCTTCCCTGTGAGTTATATACAGTTTTGCTAGATTACCTGCTCTGACTCTTCTTCACTGATGTTTGTTCGTCCCAGCATAGTGGCTTTGACGGTCGAGAGGATCTTCAGCTGCGTACTGATGGTGGGGATCCGTTCACACACCTTTGGAACGAGAAAAATGTGAATTATTTTCTGTACAAGACCCAGAGGACAGTTCAGTATGTGTCTGCATGCCCTTACCTGCAGCAGGTTAGTTCTGATGCGTCTGTCGGTGCACTGCTTGGCCACTTCTTTAGCCAGTCTCGTCACCTCATCTGAGGCCTTGGCGATGTCCTTGGCACATTGAATCAGCGCTCGTTTGTTCCCGCTCCCGCCACGCACCAGCCGAGACATTTCTGCCATCAGCAGGGCCATCCGCTTGGCTGCTGCTATAATGTCATTACCCTGCGAAGTGGGGGGTGAGGGGCGGAGGAGGAAGCAGTGAGAGCTGTGAGCAGGACACCGGAGAAGGGCATGGCTTTGGATAAGAGATGAGAATGCAATGGAAACATAGCGTGTGAGTCATGTTTCCACATTTTAAAAGAATACTGGTGCTTTGTATAAATTAATTTTAAGTACAAAAGCAAAACAGGTGCTAAAAATACAAGCAGAAAGCTGCATGCAGTGTCAGTGCATGTTAGCACATACTCTTCAACCTTCATGTGAGAGAAGATAATGCTGTAATTTACATCACTAGTTTTGGAGGAAAACAGTGTTGAGGTTCCACTGCCCCCCCTCATCTTACAGTCAATGTGAGGTTAGTACCCATGATGTGGAGCGATCAGTAGGCACCCTGTGACTAAGAAGCAGATGCAGGTGATTATACCAGGCAAGCAGGCAGTCTAATGTCAACACTACATCACCCAGAAGTCTTTGGGAAACTGTCATCCTTGGCTTCACTGGCTTGTGAAGCCAGTACCAGTTTATCCAGGTGGTGCAACAAACAAACTTGGCATTCCAACAATCCTCAACCTTTAGTTCAAACTTTTAGTGTGACATCAGCATAACATTGTGTCAACCATGTCTGAGTGTGATGCAGCAACAGCCACAGCTACTTGGAGGTTTCCATGGTAGTGGCAGATGCAGAGCTCACTGTTTGCATGGCCACAGTGACCAGTAGTCCGAAGGGTGTGACATTTCTCCCGAGGGGCTTCCCTTGTGTGGTGTATCTATCTGTATGCATGCGTGGATGTTTGTGTGCTGGGGGTCAAACAGCTGCATGATCCCTCCCAGCAGCTCAAACAACTGGGAGCCATTTACCAGCACTATCTGACCCACGTCTGGTTGTGTGTGCACTCATGAGCATGTGCGTGCGCAGACCTTGCTGGACCACTTGCGCGCCTCCTGGTGGAGAGACTGGGCCGCTGCCAGAATGGGTTGATTGACAGGCTGGTTGGAGGGCATCATCAGCAGCTCTGGCTCATAGTCATCCTCACCATCAGTAAACTCATCTTCATCATCTACCTCTCTCTCCTCTACTGCCTCCTCATCCTCAGGCTGGGTGGGGCGGGGTGAGGGGATTGTTGGTGGCGGATCAATGGGGATGGGAAGGGAAGGGAGGGAGGCAAAGAAAGGGGAGGAAAAAAGGAGGAATGTGGAGGAGAAGGGGAAGGAGAAAGCCAAGGATTGCAGGAGGGAAGGAAGCATGGGAGAAGGAGGCATTTAGTACAGTATGAGAGGCACTGGATGGAAGAACAGAGGACAGGAGATTTACAGGAGGGAGGAGGAACGAGTACAAGCACTGTGAAGGAGCAGGGACAGGGAGGTGGAACAGCACGCACAAGCAAAGATGGGGGAAAAAAAGAAGAAAGAGGAGCTGGTTTGGGCAGGTAGCAGGTGGATGACATGCCTTACTCTGAGACAGTGGCTGTGTTGACAATGTGTTGTAAATCTTTTGCCTAATCAAACAAAGTCTACTTGAGGCCAAAAACAGTGGTTGGCATCCCTTTAGTGTATTTAGTGTATAAGACGACAGATATTTTGTGCCTGATGTATAGATCTAAACAGGTGTCAGGAAAGCTAGAGAGGGGAGAACGGTTACGAGCTTCACACAGACAGCGAGAGGGCATTATTCCTGAATAATCAAGGGTCATTTATACAGAATAAATGCTCCTATACACAGTTCCTCCACACAAAAACACTTGGACACACACATACAGAACACAGACATTCACAAGGATAAGAGTGCAAAGAATACAACTGCAAATATTGTGCACTTGCTCTCATGAGGTTGGATTGTCTCTCCACAAATGATTGTTTTTCTCATATTTTCTTAGTGCATGTAAGTGTATATATGTAAGCCAGTAACAACCTGACATGCCAACACCTCGAACAGATGACAGTTTCCAGTTTCCCCTCTGAAATTGGAATCCAGCCACTGATATCCACATTTCAGCATCAACATGATTTCAGGAAAAACTTCAGGATATTCACAGAATACGAGAAGGCACTTCACCATCAGACAAGTGTATTATGACCAGCAAAGCACTAACATGATACTGTACGGTATGTGTGCTACTGACTTTTACTGACTCTGAAATTAAACTCATTCGATGTGGTGACTATGCAAACTCTCTGTGTGTGTTTGTGTGAACTAACCTTGCTCGACCACTTGCGTGCCTCATCGTGCAGCTGCCTGGCCGCCACCATCATGGGCTCGCTGAGCACCTCTCCAGCCTTCTGCTCTGGGAACTCTTCATCCTTCTCCTCCGGAGGAGGGGGCCGAGGTGGGGGCACCTCGCCCTCTGGTAAGGGGGGCTTGGGTGGCGCCTGCTCATCACTAACCTGGAAAAAATTCACATAGACCAACATATGTTACCTTTACATGTGCAGTCCATGAACAAAGGAGGGTGTGGTTTTTGGATGGTGGAAAAAAGTCTGCACACTGGGGCTTTAAAGAGTAAATTAACACCAGGCTGAAAAGCAGAGTTTTGCTGCCCTCTCTGGGGGAAAGTTTCAGGTCTGTTTCATCTCTGATCACATGACAATGTGCTCTGTTGCACCTGTGACAACACCCAACAGTGATGTCTTATTGTACTTGAGTACAGCTGTACAGAAGGTAAACCACTGGAAGTCAGAAAAGATAGGATGTCCGGTGAATGTTGAGTTGCTTTTTAAACATTTGATACCAATTTGGTTTTGGTGTAGTCTCCCAGGTAAGGCTGCCACTAACGATTATTTTCATTGTCGACTAATCTGTCGATTATTTCTTCGATTAATCGACTAATCATTTCATCGAAAAATGTGTTAAAATGTTGAAAAATTTCTGTCTGTCTTTCCCAAATCCCAAAATTACGTCATCTAATGTCTTGTTTCATACATACATACAAGGGTTTTAGTTCACTGTCACGGGAAAGTGTGTAAAGCTGCCAATATCTGAACGTAAAAAGCTGCAGTAAGAGTATTTTGGGGTACTTTTATAGTGCTTTTCTATGAAAAATGACTCAAACTGATTAGTTGACTACTAAAATAGTCACTGATTATTTTAATAGTCGATTAGTCATCGATTAGTCGACTAATCATGGCAGCCCTACTCCCAGGCCACTGGTTCTCAAACTATGGTACGTGTACAATTGCTGGTATGCAAGCTCCCTCTAGAGGTATGCGGAGGAATATCTGAAATATATACATTTTAAAATTTTAAATATATTGTATATATACTGCAATCAAAATATTACAATATTGCAAATGAAAATACTTGGAGCCCATGAGACCCCTGGCATGTAATTTTAAATAAGTTTTGCCTTTCCTGTGATATTTTGTTTCCATATCTGCCTGCTAAGTAGTCACGTTCACAAACATAACACACACATTTGTCCATGATTAGTTAAGGGCTAATCTGTGGTGGCAAAATAGAGATTTGGGGTAAAATGAATGGTTTAAAAACACTGCAACTGTCACTCCAAACAGGAGCTATGAGTAAGAGAAGTGCGGATAAGGAGGAGAATACTTCCTGCAGGCCTGCTGAAACTGAAGTGAATGACAATCAACCAAGTGCATGAGCTAGTGGCTACTTAGGCAGAGCCAGTGAGCCAGTGTCTCCATAGCACCCAACAGGGAATGGCCCTTCCGGTGCAGGAGAGTTGTGTAGAAGAGATTAAGTGCCAGTTCTAGTGTTACTCCTTTGTACAACGTGGCTGCTGCTGACAACAGTCAATGATAATGAACTATCTGGAGCTGAATATGGCAGGTTTATGCTACTGTACTTTAACGTCAATCATAGTGATGGTACTTGGAGAGGCTAATATATTCTGAGTTGGTGCACACTGTTAAAAGTTTGAGAACTTCTGTCCTAGGCTATATTGTTTGTCCCAATATCACCTGTTTAGCATTACATCCAATTGCTTAAATTGAATTATTTCCAGACTGACAGTATGTGATACCCTTCGTCACTTATATTAAAGTAAACCCCCCGATTAACTGGTTTTAAAAGTATTTCTTTATAACATTAATATTAAGAACTAGTTTTAAACTTTGTGTGGTTGTGGTTTGATCAGATTTAAATCAAAGAGGCCATACACCCCAACAACAAGCCAAATGCTGCTAAATCTTGATTGGTACACCGGAGTATGTGACTTCACCTATTTCCAATGGAGCCCCGCCCACTCCAACCCAGCAAGAACAGCACAAAAATAGAAATCTCTCTCATGAAATGACCTAAACAATTTTAAATATGTCTAATTACAGCATTATTTTGGTAGTATAAGGGTAGAATGGCATCTAAATGTAGCCAGTACCTTGTGTCTGGCGTTGTATTTGATTTCTAATTAGACTATGATCTTGTACAATGGTGTCTAATTATGTATTAGGATCTCATATTTGGTTTCTAATTAGAGTTAGAATAATAGAATCTAAATATAGCATATTTTGTGTCTACTGTGGCATAATATGCGAGTTCCTATTACAGCATAATTTGCACGTATGGTGTTTAATTAGGGTATAACTGTGTTCGTTTACTATCTAATGAAGAATATATTATTTTATGCTTTGCTCTAATTTGATACAAAGTACATCTTATTATGTCTTATTAGTGTACCGTAAAATTAAGTGCGATTGAAAATAGTGCACTGATGTGGGACCCAATTACTCACTGTAAGAAGCTGACTGAGAAAACAGGTATTCATGGCCTTTACAGGGGGTTTAACACTTGGTAAAACAGGCCTGCAGTATGAGGTATTTGTTTACATTTCATTCAGTCTTAACCCTTCATGAATCTGCACTCAGCAACATCCAGCTCCACATTTATAATTACACCCGAGGGCTGCCCACTCTAACCAGCTTTCTGCCGTGGGACACTGAGCAGCTCCACTGGAGCAGGTGACAGTTTGGGGTCACTGCTACCAAAGATAAATGAAAAATGACCCATCTGTATTAATGCGTTCATTGTTAGTAGGTAATGGTAGGAAAGTGTAGAGTCATTTGAAGGTTAGCTGTGGATAATAAGAAGTATGTGTGTTTGAATGTGCCTACATGGAGCTGGTCCAGGTCGGGTGGTGGAGGAGGGAAGTCAGGCTCCTGAGGTTGGAAGGCTTCTCTCACTTTTCCGACTGAAGCCAGGATCCTCAGACACGAGTCCAAATAGGCCTTTTGCAGAGCTGTGGAGGAGAGGGTGCAGCCTGTGTGACTAAACCTGCGCGTACAGTATCTTGAACATGTGTTTGTATATCCTGTACCTTTATCTTGTATGTTTCCAGCCACTGCTTTGGCGTCCATCACCATGGGTGAGATGGTGTGGGAGAGGATGTCTGACGCATGTTTCACCGTGTCTCTGAACCGTGGATCTTCAGAGTTCTCCACTTCCCTCTTAGCCACCAACAGGACCCGATTAGCTCTTCTTGCTATGCTTGTTGCCCCGGCAACAAGCATTTGGGGCTGAACATTCGCCATGGCAACTCGGCACTTGTCGATGTCTTTCTTTATGGCCTCCTCAGAAGCATCCAGCAGAGATTTGGTATCGATGGCCTCGTCCACCAGACCTGAGGCCACGGACACACAAACACACACACACACACACACACACACACACACACACACACACACACGGAAATCAAACTCTAAATCTAATTTTTAGTTTGTTAATGTAGTTTAGGCTGTTTGTTGCATCCTGCTGTAACACTGCAACTACTTCAAAATGCAACATAGTCGATAATTTAAATGTTAAGAAAATCCTCACCAGTGAGTCTCTCCACATTGTCGATCCACTGGTTCTTCATGGTGTCAAAGTGCTCGTACGCTGCTTTATTTCCAGGATTCTTCAGCAAGATCCGAGCAGCACAGGTCACCTGAACATCAACAAACATGTCAGTGTGTGTATGAAGCACTCGCTGACTGCTGCATGTTTTAACCAGTGTGTGCAATCATGCAAATCAGAGTCACCAAAACAAACATCATCACCTGTGGCGTGAGCTCCCTGGCATGTTTCACAGCAGCATGTATCCCCTCCACTGTGCTCTTATTGGCTGTTCCCACGGCAGCAGCCTTCTCTGCGGTCGCCCCCAGCCGACCTGCGTGGGTCTCAAAGTTCCCTGCACGCTCTTCAAAAACCTACAACAAACATTCACACTGGTTTGGTCAGAGCGCAGACGTGATCATCTGGATGGAGCAGACTCAGCACAGAGTCACTGACCTCCTCTCTGTTGGGGGCATCAGGAGGAGCAGTTGCAGCCACGGCCAGCAGTTTGATCGGGGTCGTGGTGTCACTGAAAACATCAGACACTTCCTGGGTCATCACCTCCTGCATGTGCTGCCTCAGGTCCTAGGAGAAGCCCACAGAGTTGGATCAGTCCACTAGGTGGAGCTCTGCACCAACAGGAAAGACTCAGATGCACAAGATGTTTTTTATCAATGCACCAGTGTCTACAGGTTTCAGACACTTAATGTATTGCTCTTTAAATACTTTTCAAGATAATTTAACCAAATTTAAGACTCATTTTTGGACAAATCATCTTTTATTTAAGCATTGCAGGTAGTAAGTATATAGGTAAGTGCATATGTGGTCCCTTGCAGAGGTAGGCTTCATGTAGGAATAGAGTTATCAGAGTGCGTTAGATTAATCTACATTTTGCCAACAGGTAAGTGCAAGTATAAAGTAAAAGACAGTATTATGTTTAAGGTTTAAGGATTTGGAACATCAGAAAAGTGAACTACTGTGCAAAAGAGACAAACTAATTTTGACAAAAATAAATGAATATGAAATTAAATACTTTTTTTGTGGCGATAGAGCCCTCACAAATTCAAATGTAAGATTACTGAATTACTTTTAAGACCTAATATTTATAAATTGAATTTAAGACAATTTAAAGGAACAGTGTGTAAGATTTAAGGAGATTTAGTGTCTCGCCGTGGGGTTTGCAGATTGAAACCAGGTGAAAACTCCTCGTGGTTAAAATTCTATCAGTGTTCATTTTGCAGGTGGCTTTTATCATGAGTGGAATTATCCCCAGAGTGAGACCTGGTTATTAAAACTGCTAAAAACACAGAATAAAGTAGTTTCAAATTACAAATCAGTGTTTCTCTGACGCTGTTTGGCCTGTCACAGACAGCTGTAAGCCCAGCACCTGCTAATGTGTGCTCACCTATGTTATCTGATAACTTAAGATCCAGACGCTTTTACGTCAGGAGGTTTTTATCGTGAGCTGAATTATCCATAGAGGTCTCTTCCTCTCCAAATGGCCCCGGTGATTTGAACCGGTAAAACGCTGAGTAAAGTAGTTTCACGTAAAAAAAAAAAAAAAAAAAAATCAGTGTTTTTCTGAAGCTGCACGCCATACAGGGGCTTCTAACTCTGGTGGCTGACATGAAAATGTTAAAACATTAATGGACCAATCTAGAACCAGTGTTTGGTTTGTCTGATCTGCGCTACTGAAGAAACAAGGCGGTGCAACATAGGGATCTCAATAGATGAGGACTCACTACCTATGTAGATATAAATGGCTCATTCTAAGGTGATGAAACACAACAAGCAATTATACACTAAAGAAAACATACTCATTGCGTTATTTTCCATTTCCATATCACCCTAAATCTGACACACTGGACCTTTAAGGCTCTTTAAGGATCTGCAGACGCCCTGTGCACCATTCCATCAAATGGAAATATTCTCGATGTCTTGTGCATCACTTTATTCACATTTCTCCAAAATTTAGCCTATTCTCTCCGTTATATTTGGAAACTTTGTGATTTTCGGCTGCACAGAAAACCTTTGTAATGACAGTGGATTAATTCATTCATAAATGAATGTGTGTGCTTGTGAGACTGCTGAGCTACCTTGAGGCTGTCCTGTAGCTGTGCAGCTGTAGCTCGTGCATGAGGAGCCTCAGCCTCGCCCCTGCCGGCCATGTCTGCCAACGATGCCATTAGAGCTTCTGTTCGGTCACAGCGTCCAATCATATCCTGCCGATACGGGCCTAACAGGCCTCCTGCCAACCTCTTCCCTTCTCCGACCATTCCTCTGATTGCTGCCTGACCTGGGGTGAGACACAGGGCACAAATCATTCTGCCATCATAGGTGCTTATTAAGAAGTGGAGCATCAATTGCAGCAGTGTTTTGTTTGTATTTGTTGGTAACATAGTCTAATAATTACTAGGAATGCCCAGGGTGAGAAATGACTACCTTTTCTTGTGAATTAGAGAAATAGTTTGTGTATATGTTGACCTCATAAGGTTTCTAGGAAGTCACTATGTGATTAATATCATAGTGTTTGGTTATATCCTCTATGACAGTGTATCGTGGGCAGGTACCTGTGTTCCACTGCAGTATCTCACACTCTGCTCCCATAGGGAAGCATGGGAGGAAATAGGAAACAATCAAAAGACAAAACAGGGATACAGCAACAGGCATCAAACAAAGCATTAAAACAATACAGTGCTTCCTAAATGACTAAGTAAGTGAAGTTAGTCATTCAGTGAGTCACTGTGGGCATTTAAGGAAATGGCATCAGTCACCAGCACAGTCATATCTGTACCACATTCAAAAACGTTCAAAATGACACACTTCACATCCTCCGCTTAGACCACAAACACCTCACATTTTCCAAAACTGCTAATCACAAAGAGACGTAGGTGCTGCCTTAACAATTTTCATACACCCTCCATCCTCCACGCAGGCTGACAAAAGACATGTAAGGTCAGAGTGTTTATTTCTGAACTGCTACATCATCCCTCCCTCGAGCCATCATCCAACCCTGCTCACCTACTCCTCTGTCGTCCACCCCCGGGTTGTTCACCCAGCGGAGGGCCTGCTCCATCTTGCCCTCCAAAGTGACGGCAGGTTTGGCCGGTCTCATGTTGGCCACAGCCCGGTTTGTTTTGGACTGCAGGGTCAGCAGCGCCGCCCCGATCTGCTTTGCCAATGCACGAGCCTCCGGGCTGTCACCTTTACCCCTGAGACAAAGTCAGACAGACATGATTTGAGGGGGAAACAAAAAGGTGTGATGTAGTGTTGAAATTCTCCGTTACATGCCACCCAGTGTCTCACCATATCCCCGTTAGACACCACCTTAAAGGGAAATACTGTCAAAGGCTGATGCCACTTTTTCATCTGTTTTGTCAACATTAGTTTTTGTCTTGTGTCGCCAAAAATGAAGATAAAATGTTTTCATTACTGCTTTGTACTGAGAGCATATGTGTTTCCACAGACACAAAAGCTCAACTTCTGATCCAGGACAATTACTCTTATAGAACAGTTCACGAAAAATATCATGAGTTTCATTCATCCAGAAGAATGAAATATTACTTCTAGAGCTGTACAGACTGTACCTATTTTTAATTTATTTATTTTCTACATTTTTTTAAACGTTTTTTTTTAAGTTTCTATTGAGGTTTTCTAAGGAAGCTTTGAATATTACAAATTTTATGATGTCATCGACCTAAAAAACCCGATCCCCAAACAATATCCTCAATAGGAATAAAGACATTAATGGATAAATGAGTTAGTCTTTATTAAATCAATTTTCTTTGATGAATAAATGCAATTTATGGTGCTGTTAAACTGCTGTCCAGTGAAAATGCTGTTTTTGAAAGGCCAAAATGCCAACAAATATTGAAGCAGAACATTTCATTACATAAAAACAAGTTGTAAATTTTGGAAATAATCACATCTTTCATTTTTCAAAGATTAGATTTTTGGACTTCACTTTGGACTTTGCTTGAGAGTTATTGTGGATCACACGAATCTGAGACAATCAGGCACCGCTGTGATCTAATTTCTACAAATGGTATAAAGAGACATGCCAAAACCCTTTTTTTTAAAATGGCAGCACAGCATTCAAATGTTGATTTAAAATTCCAGTGTCTAAATGATGAATGATGCTGCAAAGCTTCAAACTGTTTCTGTGTGTAGTATTTCTTTGAGGCTGTGTGTCAGTCCTTATAAAACCACACAGTGTTTACCAATGAAAACAGCCAATTATTATTCCTAGACATGAAAATGTACGATGATGCCTAAAATCTTCCTGTGTATAAGCGCAGTCACATTTTTCTCCTTTAAAAGTTCAGCTCCACAGTTTTTATGTTAATACCAGCCAGGCCGTTTGACTTACTTTGTCATATCTCTGGTTTCCTTTTATGGTCAACACGTGCAGTGGAAGTGGAGTAGAGAAAATATATTCTCAATGGTGACTCATCTTGCTGTGATTCACTGCACCACAGCACCATTCAGTAAATGAACTGTTTCTTACCCAACAAACTGGCCGTCTACAATTCATTAATGAAAGTCAGAGGCATGATCCTTATATTGAGCTGTATTTCCCTTTAAGGTTGACTCAAATCATTACTGACCCTCCACATAAATACCATAGCCCCATCTGTCCCCCACTAGATTCAAAGAGAAACCTTATTGTAGGACTGATCCCCAGGGTTGACAGGCAACAACATATTTTCCAGGTGGGTAAAATATGCCACCTACTGATGGCATGAGGTTGCAGTTTGAGCCTAGAAGAAGAGGGTCTAAGAATTACATGAAGTCACAAAACATCATTAGGCCTGCATGTGTCAGAGGAAGAAAAGCGTACTGTTTGCGTAGCTCCACGAGTCTGGCAGTGAGGCCTGCAATCTCACTGATGGAGCGCAGGATGTCGTCCCTCTCTTTGGGGTCTTCACATAGATCGGCAATTCGTTTGGCCTCTGCTAGTAGCGCTCTGATGTTCTCCTCCCCCTCAGGACCACCGTTAGGATCGGCCAGCCAGGCCTAAAAAAATGCACATACATGGCTTTTGTTCTCATCTGATGAACTAAACAACATAGATCTGTATCTTCAATGATGGGAAAAAGTCACTAAACACTGCGAATTCTAAATATTCAGCTGTTGCTCTTACTCACATTGCCTTATAACTTAAATCATTCACTAAAAATTACAAGCAAATAGAGGAAAAGAGACAGAAATAGTCTGAATCTAATACAGAGAGGAGGTATCATTCACTGGGGAGAGGGTTAACATGGATTACAGTCTTTTTCTTGTTTTATCTGACCTGCGCAGCATCCAGCCTCCTGGCAATGGCCTGCTTGGCATTGATTAGAGCCTCCAGTCTGCGGGCAGCACCGTCCACTTTGCCAAATAACAAGTCTAAGCCCTGTGAGCACTGGCCTGCACGCTGCACACACCCTGGGGTCGGGCCCTGGCCTCTGCCATTAAAGAAAAACACACACTTGATGTCAACACACTTCACATGAACACGGCTGAGTAAAGAAAACAGTTTACTCACATTCTCTCTTACAAACACACTACCTGGCTCGTAGATCTGCAATCTGGTCGGTCATTTGTCCCAGAGCCTTGGCGGTTGCCAGTATATCTTTCCTCTCCTTCCCAGCACACAGCTCTCCCACCTTACCGGCTTCATCCAGTATCACGCGCAGGGCGACCTCACCGGGGTCTCCTGGCGACACCACACCTCAGGGTCACATTGTGAGATAACCTCTAAATTGTTTTAGCAGAAAGTATTAAAAATGCACTTACCTGGTTGTCCATGAGGGTCTTTGAGCCAGCTTTTAGCTTGTGCCATCTTTGACTCAATCAAAGCCAGACATCTCTTCAAAGCCTCCATGTCCTGAAGGAAAGAGGAAACAAGGCATTGTGTATAGCTCTATCAAAACTGCAGTGGGTATTAAATAACCAGTGCTTTACATAATGGTGTACTGTAAATAAAGAGTTATAGTGATGACTTTAGTAGTTTTTATTCAACAATAATGTGCTAAAATGGCCTCTATTTAAACTCTATAATGGGTTGCAAGTTTGTGAGCCCACATTAAACAGACAGTTCACCCCCAAATCAAAAATACAGATCTTTCCTCTCACCTTTCATTCTATTTATCAACCTAGACTGTTTTGGTGTGAGTTATCGGCTGTAAAGATGTCTGCCCTCCCTCCAATATAATGGAACTAGATGGCACTCCGCTTGTGGTGCTCAAAGCGCCAAAAATTCATTTGAAAAACCCAACAGCAATGTCTCTTTCCAGGAATCATGACCCAGTTAGTCAAAATAATCCACAAACCTTGTTGTGAGCAGTTTCTTGTGGGAACTATTTTCTTTCTACTGAACTACACCTGCCAACTGCATTACCACAAGAAGGAAGTGTGCATCTACTCATGGACGAGAGGCTCGTGCTCATGACAGCACAAGATGTTAACATTAATGGCATCCTCCTAAGCTAAACTGTGATGTTAAGTTGCTCAGTGGTGCTAGGTGAGCTAGCAGAAGATGCATGCTTCCTTCTTTGCGGTGATACGATTGGCAGGAGGTGAAGGGAAAATTTGTTTTTCATTTTAGGGTGAACTGTCCCTTTAAAGGAAGAGGATGGTGTCATTTTATGTTTTTCTTCCTGTCAACAAAGCCACTAGAAAAACTAAAACCAACTATGTGTTAGTCTGTCTCTTTCAAACTCCCCTAGCCTGCCTGCGCCACTCAACCCAAAACCCATTCATTCCTACCGAAGATGTAAAATGGGCCACAAACACACACTTAAAAAAAACTAAAACAGATGGGCACTGTAATTTTTATCAATCACTCTTTAAAAAATGAATAAATAGTGCTTTCATTGGGGACTACTTTCAGTTGCGGATTAATCAAGTGAAAACTGGTAGAAAAGATTTCCACAAACTGCACAAATATAAGTGCACAGAATTCTTCTCCACCAGCTTGAACTTATTGATGTTTCCAGCACCTTGCTAAGACTAAGCTGGGTGGAGCGATGGTCGTCCTGTATTAGTAGTGGATTAAAACACATTTGCGGTGTCAGTCAGTATTTACAGTAGCAGAGTGTGTTTATAGGATTGATTTAACATAAATTACCGCGCTGGTATTCAGCTGCCGTGTTTATACTTTATCAGACTTTGGCTACACAAGTAATACTTGTTAGTAGGAACATTTCACTGCTGGTTTTGATCTTGTTGTGCACTTTGTTGACAATAAGAGAAATACAGCATGTAACCAAAGTTTTTCCTTTAAAGTAAATGATCCAAGAAATGTGCAATTATTTATTATTTACAAAAATTTAGCTGCATACTTAGTTAGATAGTTAGTCATTAATACACGGCTACTGGGTGAAAGGCGTTGCAGCCAAATGTTATCTACTTTATTGTGAGCTCAATCTGGCAACCAAAAAGTTACATTTATTTATATTCTTAATCTGTAAGCATGAATAAATTATTTATTTACCATAATTAAAGTCATACATAACAACACAAGTCTTTATGGTTGTATTGTAAAGTGAAATCTATGTATTCAGAAATTCTGTACGGGCCAACTAATTAACTTATATATTATTAAAAATAATATTAAAATGATTTATTTAAGGGGGGATCACCATCTCTCTTTTTAAAATGTCACAAGCTCTTTTATTGCTTCATAACAGGTGGAGGAAAAAAAGGCCTTTTTCCAGCTCAGAGGAGAATGAACCACTTAAGTGGAAGTGTTCAATACAGTCCATCTATTATGGATGTGTCTGGACACCAACCAGCTTATTTCTATAATTCATGACCTGAGTGGAGGACAGTCATCGTGTGCCAGCGGTTCCCCCACACACTGACAGTAAGTGCTTATCACAGCTCATACACAAGAGTATGCGGTATGTCCACAGCAAACACACACACACACAAAAACACACAAACAGACAGATCATTGTCTGAGGTAGCTGTGTGCCGAGAAACATGCAGGGTTACAGGTTAGACTAGTGAAACAGATCTTTGCCAGTTAATGATCTCGTGGCACAACTGATGTGCCCAAAAAACATTGACAAGAGAGTATATCCTGCCCTAAGACAGCACCTTATTGTGCTACTTACAGCTCTATCAATCAGGAAACATCAGCAGCACGAGAAGTAAAAACAGTGACTGAACATGAGTTGAATATATTTAGCGTTTAACTGTCATCTGTTTCAAGCCATTTGACTCAAATGGACATCTACAGACAAACAGATGCACGTTTAACAATGTAGATCACGTCAGGTTACAGTCGGTGGACTAAAACACATGACACACTTACTGTTAAATACCAGCATGACAGATATGTAAGCATGAGGACATATTTCCTGCACTCTCTCACAAACACACTTGCATGCTGGAAACTGCAGAGGGGGAGAGAAACAGGCTTACCTTCTACAGGGAGGAAAAGAATGGAGGAGGAAGGTAAAGAAAGAAAAGAAAAAGAAAAACCAGGAGTTATACTACCGAGCAAAAGAAAAAGTGGAGACAGAAAGTAAAGAGTGAATTTTTTTTTTTGTTGAGAGATGCTCTCTGCAGCAGGGTGGGAAAGTGTGTGGCTATGTGTGTGCAAACAGGCACTCCAAAGCAAAAGTGATCATCTGATTTAGGTATGTGGGGATTTTTTAAGTTGTTTTTGGGGGGGTTAAGGTATAAAATGAAGAAAATCAGGGGTCAAATGTGCAGCACAGGTCATACCTTATTGGCCCAGGCGTCTTCATCCCACGTGGTGAGCTGTAAGACTCTTATGATCTCGTTGATTTCAGCGCTCATCTTTTCAAAGGTAAACCGTCTGTTCCTCTCTGCCTCCTCAAGGCCGGCACCTCGACTGCTCTTTGTTGCCACAAAAATCTTTATAGCTGAGGACAGAAACATGAGTAGTTATGATTACAGACATACAGGAGCATATATCCATCACAAATGAGGCAACTATTTATTTAAAAAAAACAAACTAATAGTAGTGTAGTACAAAAAATTGCTATAGCGAAACCCCAAAAGAGAGTTTTCACCAGAAATGTCTAAATATCCGACAAACAGAAACTATGATCAGAGTAATGTGAAACTTGCTATAATCACTTAAAGGGGACCCATCACACTAATTTTCAGGCTCATACCTGTATTTTAGGCTTCTACTAAAACATGTTTACACATTTTAATGATCAAAAAACACTCTCACTCTCACTTTCTCACACTGTCTGTGCTGAAACACCTGTGTTCATCCTCTGTCTGATACACTTCATTTTAGCGCCTGTCTTGTTAAGCCTCCCTCCCAAAAAAAGCCCAGTCTGCTCTGATTGGTCAGCATTTGTGAGTCCTCCGCATCTGAGTGTCTCCATACCCTCAATTCAGCCAAAAAATGACTGTAACAGAGTATGGCGGCACTTTATACCGTAAAAAAAGTCACCAAGAAATGCTTATAAACCAAAATCTTACGACACAAAATTGTGGAGAAATTAACAACATCGAGAACCAAGATGACATGTTTCCTGATGTTAGCATTTAGTTGCATGTAACAGTTGTTGTATGTAGTAGTATCTATTGTAAACACCTGCAGTAGCGTGCCTGGAGCAGATGGCTCTAAAAAAAAAATCTGTCACCAGCTGATGTCAGCTTTTCTCAAAAGTAAAAAACAAATAATTGGAAACAGAGTATTTAGAGCGGTCTGAGGCTTAAGGTTTAAACAAACAGTACGAAGTAACATTATCATTCATTTGATATCTTGTTTCTGGCCACTTTACAAGTGCAATTTTAATATTCACTCTCTTTTTAACTCTGTTTTTGGTCTCCACCATCTCCTGAGGGAACTACCTATGTCTTTTGCTGCTAGATGCTTATGCATTATGTTCACCATTTAGTCACTAACTTGGGATGTCTTAATATTAGGTTCCATTGATTCGTACTGTGCCCAAGTACAATCCCTCCCCCATCTCCTGCTGCTCACCTTTCACATCAGTAATGTTGTCCCGTACCCAAGTGCATACATCATCTGTAAGATATTTGTTGATGTTGTCCCTACAGTGTGGCAAAGAGCAGCCATCACAAGATCCCCCGACCTTCACACTATGCCTGCTATGGTTTATATTTTGGACACAACATCAAAAACCACCCTTGTGCCTGCCTTCCTACTGTATTACCTATGACTGTGCCCCCCCTGATACAACAGCCCCCCAATTTAAAGCTGTATATTTGTCTTTTTAGGACAACCGGCCTATATGAAGACAATAAATAACATATAATAACATATACAGATACATAGTCTATGCACATCAGGTGATTAGTAACTTTAACCGTAAAATAAGAAACAAAAGTATATCAGTGTGTGACTCTCCATAATAACATAACTATATACTCCAACAGGATAATGGAATTCCTGTGTCCCTAATGTGAAAGCCTCCTGTCCACCAAAGCATTTTTTATAGCTAAAAATGCCAGGCGCTCCTCAGGAAATACCCAGCTGGGAGCCAGTGAGAGCGCTTTGGAGGTGTGGCATTTTTTCAGCTGAGATGGTTGCGTCTGGTTGCTATGATATGGAATATCCGCAGAAGTAAACATGTCGGCACAAAGTAGAGTACCGGCTCTGGATGAGGGGAAAGCTGAAGCATGCAGGGAGAGAGGACAGACCACTAGTCTGTTTGGGCTCATGAGAGGAAACAAAATATATATGCAGCATATTAACAGATTTCTTCTCCATTGTTGTCGTTCAGCATTTGTACATTTAAGATGTGACGGTTTGTCTCTCTCCCACTGTGACTGAGCGACCGAAGTGACCACGACGAGCGCAGCGTACACCCAATCGGCAGCGTTCAGGGCAGAATTTAGGCTCAGCATTTGTAGCATGGCGTAAATACGTAGTGTTCCCATTGCAAAGCATTGCAAAAATGTCCTGTGACCCTTTGGTGGACATGGCGCCTTAGTCTATATGGTGCTGCATGAAGCGCACAATGGGTTTGTCAGAGCTTTTTTAAAAATGACGCTGATAAGGGCAATGAAAGTGAATCAGAACAGTACGGCTGTGGGCCACAAAACCAAAACGATAAGCTGAAAGATGCTAAAACGCTCCACAGAGCTGAGGAGTCAGAGGATAATGATCTGAGAGTTCATCACCACCACTGATGTCTTTCACAAGTACAACCAGTTTTTAATCTGAAAATACTGATTAATGCAACTTTAATTTGTAAAGTAGCTCGATATCTTGTCAGACCAAACTTTGTGTCCAAACTTCTTTGACATTACAGCCACACTTAATGTGTGTGTTTGACTGTGCAGCTGTAACAGTGTTTCTCTTCTTTGCTGGTGCAGTGTACAGTATGAGAGACGCCAGCAGAGCAGCTAGTGGGCGAATTGTGCGTAGTCAGTCTGACATCCCCAGCAACTAATGACTGTAATTATCAGCGTTGCTATAACAACTGTTGGATGCTCAGTGACCTGTGCTGTCATTTGCACACACACAGACACACACAGACACACACAGTCCCACATACACACCTGATATAAGAACAGGCAGCAGCTCTTTGATGGTGTTCATGGAGTTTATTAGCATCTGTCTGTGTTCTTGGTGCGTCAGCTCCTGCTGCCTCTCCTCAATCATCTTTGACATTTTGGTCATCCCTGGAAGAAACATGGGGAAGTTAGAGGTTACCAAAACCAACCAGCAGGTAGAGCGCAGCAAATGTTTGTGACTTTGGGTTTGTTAGCATTAGCATCACAGTTTAACTACGCTCGAACAATCAGAAGCCGAGGGCATCCTCCGGCGTATTCACCAACTGAGTAGCTCCGACACATCCAAACAAATCATCACTTCACGAACGACTGATCTCGCACAATGACAGCATCAGTCAAGTGTGAGAAAACCTTGGCATCAGATTTCCCCCGGCTCATTATGCCACAGTGCTCTGACAACAAGACTGACCTTTTACCTCAGATGATAAATAGCCTGTTTATGGTCCTGCTCTCCTGCCTGATCCTCAATCACAGCATCTTAGTGTCAGAGGAGCAGTCAGGAGTTCATTTAGGTTTTCATCATGACAGATGGACCTTTAACGAACAGAAGAGTCTAAAACAAAAGGTTAATTGCACTGTTTGAAAATGTCTTAGTAGCGGCCCTTGTAAAACACTTCCACAGGTGTCAAACAGTGTCATGCACTTGTGATGAGACAACTTATTACAGACACAGTTTACTAGACGTGTAAGAATTTTGAAGTGAAAATAGACACATCTTTTTGCTTTAACTTAACATTATGAAATAAATACTGATTACACAATGTAATGGTTATAGTATGACACCATCTGCATTTAGATTAGTTCACTATAAGCCTCGCTTTCACCGTGTAATCCTGTCTGGCAATGGGTCCGATCTCCTGGGAAAACTTGAAGACTTGATTTATAGCACTAAGTGAGTACGTCAACTATTGCGCAATCCAAAACTGGAAGAGGATAGTGTTTTTGTTTTCCCCGGCAGCTATGCGTAGCTATCCCCAGTTACCAGCAAGTATAAATGTAAGTTCTTTGCAGTTATTATCCCCGGTCGTGGAAAAGGAGAGTGGAACGACCAAATTAACTGTGGAAACTCTACCCAGCAAAAATAAAAGAGCCCTGTTGTTAGGCTCTGGGGAAAACTGCCAATAAGGTTGCCTTTGTGACAGTGGCGCCACCACTTATACAACTTATACATAATATTTATAATGTATAATATTTATATATACAATATTTCTATGTATATATAATACACAATAATACCAGGGGAAGGGAGTGGGGTTGTTAAAAATTGTCTGTTTCCACTTTAATAAAGATTCAGTTGCTCATAGGTGCATTGTATCATGTATTCTGAGGCCATTCATTGTGCACTTAGATTGTTAGCAGTGAAAACATACACATTTTCTGAGATACTTCATATGAAGGCTGAAAAAATTCTCATGATTTGATCCCTTGTAACAAGGAATGTGCACGATTAGTCGTCCAAACGATTAAACGGCGGCTGCTGCTGCTAGCGGTGCTAGCCACACACTGCCCAAATTGACATTGTTCACCTGGAGATGCTGTGACCCCGCCCGGTCTGAGAAGATAATGCAGCTCATCACGACAATGACTTCACAAGATATGCTTCCACTTAACTGTGTTGAAGGTAAAGGCTTCAGGAAGTTAATGGAATATGTTGAGCCTGAATACACTGTGCTATTAACTATTAAATAAAGGCATAAATGCCAAGGAATAATCTTTAAATATTCTTTTTTAACGTACAATGTATATTTTCAAATGCATTTTGGATGGGGGCTCTTCGAATGTGTGTTTCTCAGATTTATTCGCGTGAAACTTCACCCCTAAAGTGACATTTTAAGAACTTGAGAGCAGCTTTCAAGTTTTAATTTTAAAAAGAAATCTCCTGCTGACCTGGTCCCAGGTTCTTGGTGTAAGTGATGAGGTCCTCCATGGTCTCCACCACCTCAGCCACTGTCAGATACTCTAGGATACCTTTGCACACACGAATTATCTTACGCACCTAAGACACAACACAAACATAATCACAAACAGATATTCAGACGTAAAACCACAGCTCATAATAATGATGAGAGACAAACTTCTTTATAGTGAGAACAAAATTCAATGTGTGCCTGAGCTTTTTTTAGATGGCGTTGAAGATACCCTGTTCTTTGTGGTGTGTGTGTGTGTGTGTGTGTGTGGGAGTGTTTGTTTGTGTTGGTGTGTGCACGGTCTTGTGATGTGCGTCTTGTGACTGTGAGAAGCTGCTCTTTCAAAAATGAGGCTAGTGATGAGACACGGTGAGCATTATCACGTGCCCAATGAGATTCCACTTATGGAGCTGCCATCAGACACACACACACACACACACACACACACACATACACATCATGCACGCTGCTACATACCATATCCTCACACACATATACACTGTGCCAGCCACACACACACAAACACACACCCTGAGTTATGACAGAGGGAAGTCATTTGATCTCGGTGATTAGATCTGGCTGCATTCGAGACTCCATTACAGACTTGCTCTAAGCTGAGTTCCTCCTTCCTCTGTGCAGCTATATAAAGCTTTATTTCCCTGAAAGATACCACACCTCTGAAGTAAGAGTGTTTCTCAGGTCATGGATATAAGGAGCCAAACACACACACACACATACATACACGCACACACCTCTGCCTCATCAAAAGTAAGGAGCAGGTCGGACGTTCCAGACAGTATCCCTCTGGATCCATCGATCAGGTAGTCTCGTGCAGGAACAGAGTATGGATCTGCCTTTAGCATCTGAGACGCCTGGACGAGCTTGGAGCTCGAGTTCTCCACCCTGAAAATACACGAGCACGGCTTGAGACGAGCAGCACAGTTACCAATCACAGGAATTTATCGCCTTGTAAATCAAATAGATCAGATCTCATGTCTAGAAAAGAAAACCATCTGCCACTCGCTTAAAAGAGCTGCTCTCCTGGTAACAAGAGACGGCCATAACGTGCACACATGGGGAAGTGCGCCACATTTGAAGACATTTTTCTGTTCTGAAAGTCCGTCTCATCCATAAAAAGAGCAATGACACAGCTCTGAATGCCCTGTAGTTAAATCTGAGTTTGTTGTGTTGGAGATAAGGTTACCTTTAATACTTTAAAATTCACCAAGAATGGTAAAATTTTGGGGCTTTCCCTTTTCAGCTTGCCCATTTTGAAGAGATCAATGATCAGCTTAACCTGAAGATGGATTTTAAGAGCACTTGAATAAAGCCCTCCTCTCTCTGACCCCATTGGTCAGGGTATCGATGGCTGCTGGTTCATCTATATTTAGGCTGGTTCACATTCCCACACGCCCCATTCTAAGCCCTGTGAGTGAGATTTATGGTGTAGTCCCCTGCGTGTGTGTGCCAGTGGGCCTGAGAGAGAGCAGTGTGTGTGTGGATCTGCTGGAACTTTTCCTTTAAACTGAAAAATTAATTGGACACTGAAAACACCAGAGATAGGAAATCATGGCGAGAACAAACTGGAAACTGATGATATCTAACACACAGTAAAAGCATAAAATGCAACACATTCAAGCGTGCAAACACTGCCAGATGTCCAAGTCCCAGGATTGCTGAGTAGCAGCTCTCAGCCAGCACCCAGAGTTCATGTCAGCTCTTTGGATGCAAGCTGGAAAACAACAAACAGCCTCTCAGCGGTCTGGATGCAGGGAGCCGGACAGCCGCCCGGGCTCGTCCTCAGAAGTGGCTCTTTGTTGCAGCTGGGAACGCAGCCATGTTTCCTGACATTAAATCGTCTGGAATCCTCTTTTTAACAAGTTCTCTGTCTACTGAGATAAAAATGGATCATTTCCATAATTTTGTCACTGGGTATTTCTGTGGGTGCGAGACGAACAGAAGGAGCTAAACAAAGAAACAAGAGCAGTGCTTTTTCTTACATGCTGCTCCAGAAACAGACTTACTTAATGAACGCAGGAGGCATATCTCTCTTCATCACCTGGTCCTCGGTGGTTTGAACAGTCTCCTTCCCCACCTGCAACACACACACAGGTGGACCATTTATTTTATTATCATTAGCTGCAGCAGCACAGGAAATACTATTCAAATAAGAGAGCACTATTAATAGCCTGAAGGGTGAACGGGTGTGCATCAATTCAGACCCATTTCAACAGTGCGTGCATGTCAAATCTTTCAAGCTTCGAGGGGAGGTAGCTCGAGCTCTGGTCACCTCGGACGTGTGTTATTCTACATGAGGGCAGATCGGGGGAGAGACACTTGTGCTGCTCTGCTGTGGGTCTATAGAGTCATCAGTGCAACATCAGCGATGCGGAAAATGTTGGATAGCGTTTCCACATTAAATCAGACACTAATGATATTCAGGGCCCTGGGAAATGTAAAAGTATATACTTTATTTTCACTGAGCAAATCAAACTCGACAGTCGCAACTATGAGTATTGATTTTTCTATTAGAGTTGCTTGATTTTTTCCTCCACCTGTACCCCACAGTGTTTTCTTTCCAAATGTGGTTTAAACTAAAAAATGTTTTCATGCCCTCAAATATATTGCAGCACATTAGGGTCCTTAATGAATTCTTCTGTAGATTCGGTTGCACACGATTCATATTCTCACTCCGCAAATACGTAAACTGTGTAATGAATATTAATATTTTGTAGTCACACATTTCAATGTCACTGACAAAAGAGCTGCAAAAATTAACCGATTGCCAGCAACTTATTTGATAATTGAGTAATAAGCTTTTTTAATAAAAGGTCAAAATTCTCTGATTTCATCTCCTAAAATGTGAATGTCTGAATATTTTCTTGTTTCTTTACCCCTCCATGAAAATAAAGTGATAATCTTTGGGTTGTGGACAAGACAAGACATTTAAGGATGTAATCTTGTGCATTTTTCACCATTTTCTGACATTTTATAGACCAAATTACATGTCAATTGATCAAGAAAACAATCAGATTAATCAACAATGAAAATAATCGTTGCTGTGCAAGATATGGTATCGAAACATTTCCCCTTCCTATTCTGTCTATTGCAAAGAAACAGTATCACTTCCACATTTGGGTGATTCCAATATGAATTACAAATTTTGTCACAGAAATTACATAACTCACTCGAATACAGACACAGTGGGGAACACATCCGTACGCGCGCACACACACACACACACACACACACTTAAACACACACCTTAACACACAGATACACAGTGGGATGACATTGCTCTCTTCTTCCGCAGATGTTGGTGATGCAGCTGGCTGAATGACTCTGAAACACTGGCTCTCACACACAAAACACATCCTACAACACAAGCATGCACCCACACACATACACTTGAGATGCAATTACAGCGAGATGATGACATCAGTCTCTTGCTGCTGCGTCGATGAAAGTCCGTTAATAGACTTTCTGGCTCCAGAGACTCAGGAGGCGGCCATCACGCACCGCCTTCAAACAGCACTGATTCACCTACACAATGCTGAACCTCTTTGCAATTATAGACATTCATGCTGCTGCTTCCTAAGACATAGCAGGGAAATCGATTTCAGTCAGTGTCATGGTTCATCAGTGTTTTTATCTTCGTGTAACTAAAATATGCAATAAAAAGTAACTCTTACTTTGAAAGGACCAGTCAAGATCACAGTCAAGGCACAAACTTGATCTAAACACCAGCAAACCTTATATCTGTAATTCTCTAGGTACAACAAAGACCCTGACAGCAAGTAATCAGAGTACTGAGAGAATGAACTTTCACACATAAATAAGATGCATGATCATTCTACCCTCATCAAAGTATACTTTGCATCCTACTATAGTCGCCTTCCCCATTTTTCAATTCACTTAGAGCTAATCTGTATGATGTCTGATTGATCACCAACTGCAAAAATACATTTAAAGGCTTTAAAGTATCTCAGTAAATTTCCTCGTTTCAAAATGCAGGGAGATTCCAAACTCTAAACTGTGAGGAATGCAGCTCTACAAGTAGAGTGCACACTGATGAAACCCTCCGGACCAACTCAGCAAGCCACATCAGGTGACTGATCAAAGAGCTGTGTGAGCACCAGAGTTTCCTGTAAGCAGCAGAGCTTGGCATCGACTGCATCAATACATAATTAATGAGAAGTTAAGTGGTTTCCTGGACACACGCTGACAGTGTGATGTGTGTGTACAGCGTGAAAGGTGTGACTGCTTCAGCGCGAAACAGACAGCTGCCAATCAAAGCTGACACAAAACAATTAGTGTTATCTCAGACCCACAGGCATCAGCACTGATGTGGGTCCAGCTCTCATACTCTGTCTTTATCAGCTCATTGTATGGATTTCACATAACAGTCCAGTCCATGATGATGATTTATAGTGTGTGTGACAAATATCTTAAGTCTCAAAATTGCTTCTGCCAGCAGCCAAAAAAGTCAAGGATACAGAATTCATGCTGTTGAAGCTGGAGTACGGGACTTTTACATATAAATGAACATCTGTTACAGTCAAGCTCTTGCCAAACAAGTTTGCACATTGTTGATGAAGCCTACAGCTGCCAGGGAAAGCTCTCTGTATTTCTAGGTACACCAGGCTTTTGTGTCAGGTGCCTGTGGTGACTTTCCTGCACAGGTGCACCAGAAGTTATGTGTTTTACGTCAACAAGTCAAAGCTAAAGGGAGGAGAGACTAATTTATTGTCTTTTTCTGATTGGCAATGCTTTTTTGTTTTGTTTTCTCAATGATTCATCTATTTGTGCGTGATTCTAAATTATATACCTCTGATACTGTGTGTGCTAACAGTTTGAAATTTAGATAAAAAAACAAAAAATGGAAGCTGGGAGAGATGGAGTAGATGCTCCAGATAAAAAGGGAACTTGGCAATCAGAGAAAGTATTCAAGTCAAAAAAAGACTTGAAAAGAGCGCTCTTGGGGGTGGTGGAGAAGTGGTTCTAAGCAGGCGTCAATGGTGTTTATGGTTTTACTCTCACTGCCAGAGAAGGGAGACACAAATTCACAGCTTTAAGAAATTGAGAAAAGCTAAATCTGTGCATATGAGAAACTACACTCAAAGTTAATGTTTGGTTTCTTAAAGCTGCAAAATGTTTTTATTTGGCCACTTCTGACAGAATTGTCAACTCCTTGTGTCTTCAGTCAGACATTGCATCCACTCCAACTGATTTCCGTGGGGGAGGGGGATTTGATTTTCCCTGACCAATCACTAGCATCCAACATATCTGCTTGAATCCAATGTTTAAGTTTTGCAGAGGTTTTAGATTAAAGTAAAAAAAAACAAAACACTAGGATGTTTGGCAATACTAAGAAGACACTTCGATTTATAGCAGCCTCAATAGCAGCGTTTATTTGATCTATATTAGACACCAATCTTGTTATTGCTCCTCATTGTTTCGGCGCACTGCTTGACAACAGCTTGATAATGGTGTAAGTCCCGCCCACTGGCACATATTGGCTAATTGTTAGTCCCTGTGCAGCACTCATGGGATTGTTTTTTGTTTTAACCAAGAAACCAGCTGTCACAATGCCAGACAAATCAGTCACCTCGATGAAGAGGGCAGAATCCAAGGTCTTGATGCAGGCATTAACAAAAAAAAAATCACACACATTCGACATATCATGGCCTTGTAAAGATATTAAAGCTAACATGTTGGCAAACAGTTGCCATTTAACACATCCAGAAGACATGAAGCAACTTTATTATTCATTTGGAGTCATGGTTGTGCCCATCTGATGAATGTTACTCCCATAGTCACTCTCTTTTTTAGCTCTGTTTTGGTCTCCACCCACTCCCAAGGGAAATATATGGTTCCTTAGCTGCTTAATGCTCCAGTATGTATGACCAGTTAGTTGCTGCTTTGTCTTTCTGCTGTTTGGTGCTGAGCAGATACTCAGTATGTCTAAAAACAGCTGCCTGCTACTGCTGAAAACAAAGCTGACAAGCGCTGTGAGAGTGAACAAAAACATAAAAAATGAGACTCAAGGTCGTAAAACCAACACAAAGAATTGAAAGACGCTCAAATAATTGACAATGGTTAGTGCAGCTTTAAAGACAAAGTTATTTATTTGATTGAAAATCACATGACGATGGAATTAATCGACATTCTGTCAATCGAAAGCAAAATGTGTCACTAACCATTTTAGCTCTTGATAAAACAATAAAAACTGATATAATTCTGTCATACAATACAAGCCAGGAGTAGATTTAAGGCAGACTGAGACACAGCCGGAAACTAAGACTCACCCTGGGCCTGCCAATGAACAAGAAGAGATGGCTCATATTTACATGATAGAGCAGGCTGAGGACAGTTGGTGTGTGTGTGTGTGTGTGTGTGTGTGTGTGTGTACAGTATAGGGGGTTGGAGGTGGGAGGGTGGACTACAAAGCTTGGCAGAGTCTGGTCTGAAGACGCCAGAGACACTTTCCCTCCCTCACATGGTGCCGGCGTCTGACTGAAAGTGGCTATTTCTCCTCATCTCTCCATCCCTCCTCTTCTTCCCTCATTCTGCATCACACTGTGTGACGACAGTTTCAGTCGATAGTCTCCCTCCCTGCATCCCTCCTGTCCCTCTCTATCTCTCTCCAGTGTGTGGTTACTTCACTCAACAGTAAATCTATTTATTCCTTCCCCCCCCCCTCCCCCAGACATACTCAGGATCTCTGTTGACTCCTTCAGGAGCAGATACTTCACAAACACCACTGAGGCAGCTCCCCGTCATCAGCACAACTTCAGCAAGCTCACACTTTCAACCAAACACATCAACAGCATCCTTCAGATCTTTAGTCGAATCAGCGTCAGCCCACGCACAACCTCTGACAGATTGAGACTGACACCATCTTATGTGTGTGTCTAAGTGTCTCAGTGACCTAGATTTTAAGTACCCCCCACAGCCAGCCCACCCTGGACGGGGTTAACAGTGTAATTGTATCAGTGTGCAGTGGGACTCTTGTGGCGATGGAAGCATGTATAGTGTGTTATATCTTAGCTCGAACTGCGCAAGTGTAGCAATGAATCAGCTTTCTAAAATAAAGCATATGTGCTCAGAAGTGTGTGTGTTTGAGCTTTAGGTGTCTTTTACATCCAATTAAGTTTATCTGCCCAGCAACCAGCCAACACTGACTTTACAAGCTCTGTTGTCAAGCACCCTCTGTGCTCTCTCTCAACACCTTCTTGTCTGCCACTTCTTAGCTCTCACCCCTCCATCAGTGAGGCACACAGCTACTCATCATTTCTTCTTCAACTGCACATGCAGGCATTTAGCTGTGTTGTTATCCAGAGTGTCTGAGAGTACAGAATACAACAGCAACAGCATTGTACATTTATGCAAACTCTGAACACGTAACGTTTGTAGGCTTTTAACTGTATGTTGTGACTGTGCTGTAGTTAATGTGTGGTTAGATTTAGGCACAAAAAAACTCTTGGTTTGGGTTCGAAAAACATTATGCTTGGCTATACCTGAATTTGTCACCGCGAACATCAGATATGTTACCCAGTGTGACTCCGGATATGTTGCTGGATATGTTTCAAATTGCCATTAAAAAACACACGCTCTCTTCGCTACAAACACAGCTGAACACGTCCTGAACTCTAGTCAAAAAACAAATGCTTTTGCCGCTACAAACGCCACTGGATATGATGCGAACACCGCTGGACATGTCCCGAACTGTCATTAAAAATTACCCGCTTTTGTTGCTACAAACACAACTGGATATGAGCTTAATTGTTGTTAAAAACATACGCTTTTGTCACTAAAAACTCCTCTGAATGTGTCCCAAAATCTCATTAAAAAACACCTGCTTTTGATAAACACAGCTGAACACGTCCTGAACTCCTGTGGAAAGATACAAGCTTTTGCTGCTACAAACACAGCTGGATATGTTGCAAACACTCACTGGATATGTCCCGAATTATCATTAAAAAAATACCCACTTTCATCACTTTTAACACAGCTAAACATGTCCAGAACTTTTGTTGAAAAACACATGCATTTGCAGCTACAAACACCCCTGGATATGTTGCGAACACTCTTTGGATATGCCCCAAACTGTTATTAAACACACACATTTGTCGCTACAAACACCGCTGGACGTGTCCTGAAATGTTTTTGAAAACCACCCACTTTTGTCAACACAAACACTGGAGGACATGACCCAAGCCCTTGTTAAAAAATACACACTTTGGTCGCTACAAACACCAAAGGACATGTCATAAACTGTTGTTGAAAAACATCCGCTTTACTTGCTACAAACACCACTAGATATGACCCGAACACCTGCTTTTGCTGCCACAAACACCGCTGGATATGTCCCAAACTCCCATTAAAAAACATCCACGTTTGTCACTACAAACACAGCTGAACATGTCCCAAACTGTTGTTAAAAAACACCTGCCTCTGCTGGTCTGGACAGTGGTCTGCTGGTCAGCATCTGTCTCACCTAGGTGTCAAACCATCTACCACCCCCTCCTCCTCCTGATGAGAAACTCAGCTCATATGCAATCTGAACTACGTCATACGTATGAAATGTACAAATGTAACATATCTGTGGTTTGCAGAAACATACAATGCCAACATTTTAATCTGGTGACTGGGCTGTCTGAGAAGAGGTAAGGGCTTTTTTTTACTTTTTACTGGATACAACTTTTCCTCTATTGGGTTAACACTTTTACTCCTCCATTCTAACAGCACTCCCCCTGTCTGACACCTTCCAGTGTCACTGTGTCCTCCACCCTTATCTCTCCCTGTAGCCTCGCATCTCCATCATCTGAGACCCAGCGACATGCCTGAGGCTGCTATTAGCCTCCTTCTGCTCAATGTCCAGATGGATCAACTGAAAGGATCAACGAGGACGAGCGGAGAAAGTGAGAGAGATGGAGAGGTGTGCCCGGTAGCAATGGGATATCAAGGACTCGGTGCAGCTGGATGGTATCGCATAAAAGGGGAACTTTTCATTAAGACCGGCCTCTGTGTCTGAGTTCACACTCAATAGTCCTTTTCATTATCAGTTAATGAGATATTTATCTAAATGATCTTGTGCGTCCTTGCGCAGGGAAGCAACCTAATGTGTAAACTATCCAATACATTGACATCGGTGAGAACAATAAAAGCCTTTTTCACTGTTAATTATTACAAAGGAACAACTGACAAAACACCATAAAACTATTTTTCATAGACTATTCAATCACATAGTTTACTTGTGTTGCCTCCAAACCTGTGCAGATCATGAAGCGGATAGACCACACTCTGAGTAAGAGAAAAACTAAGTTTGTCCGCAGTTTGTACTCAAAGATTTTGCAGGGTGGCTTTTTATATCATAACATGTCATAAATTGAAGTTACATGGCTTGATTTAATCTTTTTTTTCAGCCTTAGAATGACACACCAATAGAAAACAATGTAATATAGTCTAGTCATGCATTAAAGTGAAGGTAGAGCATGCAAATTATTAATGAGTTTCCTATTATGTATTTGCATAATCCAGATCTTACTTTAAAATCCTTTGGACTATTCTCACACATGCTGAGTAATATCACAAAATGCATTTAGCCAACACATATTTTTGTATTTAGTCAGTAGTTTAGTTTATAGAGGAGAAATCATGGCCCCCTGCATTCTGGTATCATTTTAAATTAACAGTTTCCAACTGTATGTCAAAAAGCCAGTCCGGAAGACAAGCACAGAGGAGCCAAGGTCAGAGGAGCAGCACTAAGGTGATGTTGTCAGCAAAAGCCTCAACATACTATAAAAACTTAGATAAAGTTGAGAGCAAAATACAACTGCCAAGGTGACCAACAAAGACGTAGACAAAGCCTGCTTAAATCTTGACCAAGAGTTGCCACAATAACCTGTATCAAAAGTTTGTGCGGCACTGAGCGTGGCCCCCCACACTGTGTGATACAAATTCTTGTCATACACAACAATTAAAGTGTAAACAAGTGAATGTTTCCTCCTGTCTGCTGCTGATTTCTCCTGAGAGAGTGAAGCCCGGTCACCCCTGCATCAATAACAGCGACCCTGGATCAGCATTAATAGTGTGGCCCATATTGATTTTTCCACTCAGTGCATACAGAGGGCACATCATCATCTGACTGGAGCTTGTCTTTTCCTGTGCAAAATGAGCATTTGGGTAAAACAGAGTGGAGTCAGATGAGTTCTAGAAAGAGAGATAAGGGAGGAAAGTGTTGGAGTAATGAAGGGAGGAGGTGGGAGTCTAATAAATGACCACAGGGTGTATATATTCTCCATGGAGGTTATTACTATGACTGGGCTTGAATTCATTGTTCTATAAACTGCAAATGCTGCAACTGAGTTTAATGAAGCCTCTGGCTCAAGTGACATTTCCTTCTTTACTGATCACACACTGTGTGTTTGTGTGCGCGTGTGTGTCTGAGGGAAACAGCATCCTGTTAATTCAATCAGCACTCGTTTCTTCCGCCCCACAAACTTCAGCGGCCATCTGATTACCCACCGGGGCAAAGTTTGACATGTTGTGTTGCTGTGCACAGACGCGCACAGGAAGAAAAAAACTACTGCAGGAGCTCGTGAAACACGCATGAGCGTCAGCTGGGTGTGTGGCAGTTTTTATATCATTTTAATGGCGAGCAAAGATCAAGATGGGATTGCAATAAATCTATTAGGAAGCCATATAGAAGAAGAAATGACTGCTCAATGTGCAGAGCTGGACAGTTTGATGACCTACTATTGTAATCATTTATGATTGATTAAATAAAAGCTGACCAGTCACTGCACCAGTCTGACTCCACAAATGTCGATGTGAAAGTTTGGATGATAAATGCCACTGGATGCACACACTGAATTGACGCCCTGGTTCAAACTCAGGACTCACCCGCACAAGGTTGCTGACTGCCGCCTGCACCGCGGCCACCGGTACCGTCAGATCTGGGATGGCTTTACCGTCCACCTCCCCCTCCTCGTGCATGATGACCAGGTGGGAGATCTGCTGGGCCACCGGCTCCAGGATACTCTCGATGGTCTTGGTGTGAAACACCGGCATCGTGAACGACTTTCACCGCAGCCCCGACAGAAGAAAAGGCAGCTGGTCGCTCCAGCACTGAAGATCCCCCCCTCTGTCTCCTCTCCTCTCCTCTCCTCTCCTCACCGACACCGACAGGAGGACAAACCCCGAGTTGTCAGTCCAGCTCCTGAGACGAAACCCTCATGCGTCTCCACTCCCGGTGTGCACCGTCTCCTCTGGTGTGCACCTCGGTGAAGGCTGCGCTCAGACGGTCGGTGTCCTCCGGTGGGAGCGACCCAAATCGTGACAGAAGGAATCACCGCCCTCCGCCCAATCACAGCCAAGGAATACAGCTGCCAAGCGGGTTGGTGTTGGTGCGCACTGACGCTTTCCCTGCATGCACACGCACGCATAAATACACACACACAATTCAAGTGAAAGCGCTTCCCAAATTACGTCATGCATGCCAGTGGCCCCAAAAAGGAAAGTGTTGGGGTAACTTAATGGGACTGTGATTCCACGATATGCCATGCGAGGTGTGTGCAGATGAGAGGGCGAACATCTACAACAGGGGGAGGTTGTAAACATAAATAAATGAGCTGCTGTGTGCAGCCTGGTAAAGGTCAGCTCCACATCCATGAGGACACTGAAGATGAGACCAGGAGCTGCACCACATGATGAATACACTGGTGCTGTATTTATATGAAGCAAGTTCAAACCTTCATCTGACATCTGATCTATGTTCATTAAAAGGTGGGTCAGGAGTTCATGTCTCAGGGCCTAAATGTCCAGGTCTAAATAAAGACAGGATTCAACTTGCTCCCAGCTGCAGCTAAGAGAAGGAGTCTGTCCAGCAGGAGGAGGCTCACAGATCCTGCACCGTGACACCCACACAACTTCTTGACACAGAGGATCCTGAATGAGCAGCTGCCCCACTGGTTTAACACCCACCTGACAGGTTGCACTTGAAATTTTGTTTGCATTAACGTGGAAAAATCTGATTTAACTTTAACTTATGGGTGTGTGATTGCTGGTAGGGTTGTTCCTGTTTCTCAGATCTGAATCTGAGTTGGGGAAACTGGAGACCCCAGCAGCAAGAACAGTGGTATTTATACCCCTGAGACCCGGTGTCGACCAAGAGAGCCAAGTGTGTGTGTGTGTGTGTGTGTGTGTGTGTGTGTGTGTGTGTGTGTGTGTGTGAGAGAGGAAGACAAGTGGCTGCTATCCCAACCAGGGAGACTGGACACTCTAGTCCATCTGGTTAGAACAGACCCTGTTACTCCTCTCCTCTCCTCTCCTCTCCTCTCCTCTCTTCTCCTCTCCTCGTCCTTAGGAATTGTCCTTAAAGAGGTGTAAGCTTCGTACTTGCTGCATCTCAAACCCATATATGGATGGAGGCAGAGTAGAGGAGCAGTAAAGTAAACTGCTCTGTGTGAGTAATCGAGGGGGAATAGGATGAACTGTGATTGGCTCCAGTAGCACTGCTGCGAACTATCTGTGTATGTGGACTTGTCCAAACAGACTTTGATAGAAAGCATTGCCGCAGGTTGCTTGGAGAGGTTTTGAAGTATGCGTTCAATAATGACGTGATGACCTGCTAGACTGTGGTTGTTCAGTGCAACAAAATGCTCTTAAATGATTACACCACTTTTTTTATTTCTTTCATCTCTGTGTTGCTGTTTTATCTGTGTTTGCATTGATTGATTGTTTGTAATGATTGGAGCAGTGGTACTCAGCATTCCTGTGACATGTTTCTTTTTCTTTTGGGAGTGGGGTGTGGGCGTTGGAGGTACGGGGTACTAGACTGAGAGATGTGAGTCAGCGGACGACTGGAGATGTAAACACTCGCTGCTCCACACTGAGACTTTCCTGGGGATCATAAGATGTCTGACAAGAGGTGACGCTCGTTCTTCTCCACAGAACCATGTTTAGAAGAACCACTTTGATTTGCACCATGCTGCATATGGATATAAACAATAGTTTCTTAATGAGTCCATGAAGACGAAAAGTGTAGAATGGGGCTTTGCCTTTATTAGAACTGATTCTGGATAGAAACTATGTGCAGCCAGTGTTTGTACACCAAAAGTCAGTGTTTGATTTTGGTAATTGATTATATTCTGACAATACAGTAAAACAGCAATGATTCTGCGTCCTGATAGCTTGCTGGGAAGTGTGTGTGCCATTGGGGTTGTATCCTTATCACAGTGGCCTGGATCTGAGTCTGGCTCAGGGCCCTTTGCTTCAGGTCTCTCCACTTTCATATCTAGCACACTATCACAATAAAGCATTAATAAACAGCAATGATTGTGACAATATGAACTGCTCTTTGGATTTTTAGTGCCGCTAGCAGCATGGCACTAGGGAAAGCAATGTAAGGTTGGTCCATCACTTTGGTCCAAATATTATAACTATTAAGGATTACCATGAAGTTTTGCACAGACAGTCATGGTCCCCAGGGGATGAAACCTATGACCTAAGTGATCGCCTGACTTTTCTCCTCTTGCCACCATGAGGTTGACATTTGTGGTTTTGAGAGAAACATTTCAACATCTGTTAGATCAATTGCCATAAAGTTGGGTACAGTTACTTTTAGTAATTTTTTGTTTGGAATTCATTTTTAATTTCTCTTTTTGGGATAGTAGGACCTGATAAGTAGGCCTATACAAAACTAAGCATTGTCTTTGAACAGGAAGTAGTTTGGGGGAAAAAAAGATGTCCTCATATGGGGACATTGGGTTTATTTTTAACAGTCACAGGTGTGTAATAAATTATAACAGTTTATTCAATGCCTGGACATTGATGCACAAAAACAAAATCACAAACTGTTTAATGTGTTGTAACTTTTATGGGTTAGAGGTCACTGTTCAAGTCTAAAACTGTTCAAAAGTGTTCATTTCAATGCCTGAACATGATTGTGCAAAACAAAATTGCAGATAATGCAATATATTTAAAATAATTGTTCATTTTGTAACTCTGTATCTAAGTTTCCCTGCTCTGTACTCCATGAAATGCTGGATAATACAGTAATAAAGTCCTAGTGTCCTCAAACAAGTATTTCCTAATTAACAGCATTTAAGCTTGACACTCTTGCCGAAATTGGCCAACTTTGTATGCCATATGAAACTACACTTAATATTTAGCACAGACAATTAAGTTTCAACCACAGAATTTGATCAGGTTTTGTACTTTGTCCACTTTTGTGTCGAGATCAGCTGCAGACTGAACATAAAGTGTCCATAAATGAGGACAGCAGGTCTAAGTTAAGCAGAATGAAGGTGCAGGAAACCCAAAAAATGAGGTCCTCATATGGCCTCAGTGCCCTCAGCTGTAGGCCCACTTTTTACCTTGTGCTAACTAGCAAAATATGGTGAATACAGTAAACCTTATACCTGCTAAACATCAGCATGTTTCTGATCATTCACCACGTTAAACCTTATTTTCTATTCATCTCTCTTCTTTTGTCTTTTTTCACCCTGTTCTTGACCCAATCATCTGCTTTATTTTTATCGTTTGCTGAAGGTTTTTATGCTGAAATACTTTTTTGTTAAAACCACACTGATCTGTAATCCTGTGCATATCAATTAAAAAAAACTTTTTAAAAAGGCATCTCTGCTGCACTGATGAACACTGCTGTTCAATTCTGACCTGAAGTCTCCCTCGACATAAATTTGTTTGTAGGGGAGCTTCACTGGAAACTTTAAACAATGGTGAGAATTATTTGCAGCGTCCATAAAATGCAAATGTTGAGTGGAAGTCAAGTCAGGCGAGGAAAAAACTAGATTGCTTTCTTCTGTGTCATCAACAGCTTGACTCATCAGTCGTCCAAGCTCAACAATGTCTTTTTTGTTCCAGCTACAGTATATAAAGATAAATCTGCCGTAGTCTGTTGGATAGAATTGATTTCATTTATTTAACTTTATGCTTTTTAACAATCATAAAATAGTGCTAACAATTTTTTTTTTTATATTAGAACACATGTCTTATATTTAGTATGTTTAATTTGGCGGATAAAGTCTTGCTTCACTAATTTGCATCACCAAACTGCTGCACTCACTGTCTCTACAAAGTGTAACAAGTGGATTAAACCTGCAGCTGTTGTCAGTACTGACTCACATTGGATGTCATTGATGTTTACATTAAAATACTTGTGATATTCAGTATGTTTGAGAGTAGCAGGCTGCATGTAACTGTTTACCGCACAGTGCCCTCCAGTGTTTGACTTAAGGAAATTTTCACTGAAGGACAGACTGTACTGAATTGAACTCACATAAACTGAGTACCACACCCTGTTGTTTTAGATTACAAAATGTCTGCAGTTCTTGTATCTAAAATGTATTTCACTTGTTAGACACACATATACGTCCTGTAAGAGATGCTCAGGGACCACAATGAGCCAGCAGGAGCCATTTTTACTTGTGTTGAATGCAGAAGGGAAACAGAAACATTTATGGCTTGGAAATTGATGAACACAATGACAATGTAGTACAAATATTTTATTAAAAAAATACTCAACAGCAGGGCCAGCCTTCTACAACAGGAAATGGTTCTTAAATTAAATTAGATAAATAAACTTCTTTTCTAATAGCTTGTTTAAAAATCCACACTCTTAGTATGAAAAGCTCATGCACAAATAATACAAAAGTATCACACACTATATACAGCAAAACATATTTAAAAAAAATACTTAGAACTGTTTCTGTAAATCTTCACTGTGCAAAAGTATCTTAACTGTATATTAACAGCGACACACATCAGCTACAAATTTTCCTTTAAGATGACATTTTGCCACAGCTTCACTTTGTGGGATACATGAACCCTTGGGTGATTTTGGAGAGTCCTGTTTTTGCTGCGATCCACTTGTTGTAGTTGGTGACTTTTGTGTAAACCCCTGGTTTGTTCTTTGCGGCGCAGCCCTCACCCCAGCTCACCACGCCGAACAGGAACATTCGACCTGATGCCTCACACACCAACGGACCACCAGAGTCACCCTGTGAGAGGAGGAGGCAACAGTCAGTCAGCGCTCACAGCATGAATAAAAATCTGGTTATGTAGTATATTATTAAAAAGGCTCATATGGATACTGACTATCAGAAAAGGTCAGCCATCTCTTTATTTTGATGTATCATAAAGTAAAATTAATTTGTGAGACATTTCTGTCTTAACATTTAATATCCTCTGCAGATAATTCAGCTCCTGGAAGAAAACCTCCTTAACAATGAACACTTTCCCCTATATCTTACACACTGTTCCTTTTATTCTGCTAAAGCTTGAAATATGTGGCAAATTTGGATGTAAGATTACAATTTCCTCTAAGTTCTGTTCTTTTGGGGCTGCTGTGAGACATGTGAAGTGGCAAGACGTTAAAAT